GTGATGTGTGAGGAGAGGGGTGATGATGAGAGGGAGGGTGATGTCAGAGGGAGAGGGAGAGAGAGTGAGAGGGGAGGTGATGAGAGGGGGTGATGTGAGGAGGGAGGGATAGAGGGGTGATGTAGGGAGGGAGATAGTAGAGAGGGAGATGGTGAGAGGGAGGGTAATGATGGGGGAGTTGATATATGAAAGGGAGAGGGAGTGATGGTGATGAGGGCTTGAGATTGTGGTGATGTGAGGGGTTTATGGTGTGGGGAGGTGATGATGGGGCGGTATGTGAGAGGAAGGGAGTGATGATGGGGGGTTCATGATGAGGGGGGGTGATGGTGTGAGGAGATGGGGTGATGTGAGAGGGAGAGCGGAGCTGCAGACCATGAATCTCGCTAGAGACAGTCAGAGCATTGCCCTGGTAACCCGCAGCAACACTCTGATTGATTGGATCTCGCGAAACACATGGTCTGCAGCTCTGCACACTGTGGGCTGCAGAACGGTGTCTGTGATGGGTGCAGGAGGGGCATCTCACCCGGCAACTTATCGAGCAAGCAGCCGTGCCCCCTCCTGGTACCAGACACAGTCTGCCCCGGGCACCGCCCTAGTGAGTGGCACTCGGGGTAGACCACCCTCCCTGCCCCCTGCTTAGTACGCCACTGGGCAGGTGTACACGATACAATTCTCTACTGATATTTACAGGCTCTCTCATAGCTTTTTAAAGATAATCTGTGCTGTACACATGAACAAAGCATTTTGGCAGCAGCTTGCAAAATATTTTCATTCATGTGTTTTTCTGAATGAAACTATAACTGCATACTGATTTTAAAAATATCAAAATATTACACACTCTTATTATGAAGGAGGCAGATTCCCAGGTACAACAATCTACCATTTCCATTTTTGCAGGATTATGGCGACTTTAAAGTAGTACTCATAGTAGTTGAAGATTGAAGATAAGAAAAAGAAGAAAATAATGCATACTGTAAATGAAACAAAAACATAGCATGAAAACTTTAAAAACTATTATACATTTAATGAGGGATCTCACTGATATCTCTCCCTCCATTATCTGATCCTCAGAGTTTGAAAAAGCAATATCTGTGTCTTGTCAGCCATTTGCATATAACCTACAGTGCCTTGCAAAAGTATTTTTTGGGGATTGCAACACATTTACATGTTTCCCCTCAAACCACTCAAGTGTTGCTTTAGCAGTGTTTTTGGGGTCATTCTTCTGCTGGAAGGTAAACCTCCGTCCTAGCCTCAAATCACGCACATAGTGGTACTAGTTTTGCTCAAGAATATCCCTGTATTTAGCATCATCCATTTTTCCCTCAACTCTGACCAGTTTCCCAGTCCCAGCTGTTGAAAAACGTCCCCGCAGCATGATGCTGCCACCACCATGTTTCACTGTGGGGATGGTGTTCTTTGGGTGATGATATATATTGGGTTTGCGCCAGACATAGCGTTTTCTTTGATGGCCAAAAAGTTCAATTTTAGTCTCATCAGACCAGAGCACCTTCCTCCATACATTTTTGGAGTCCCCCACATGCATTTTCACAAACTCAAAATGTGCCATTTAGTTTTTTGCTGAAAGTAATGGATTTCTTCTGGCCACTCTGCCATAAAGCCCAACTCTATGGAGCATACAGCTTATTGTCATCCTATATACAGATACTACAGATATAACCTTACCCTGACTTGTATTTCTCAACAACATTGTCCCTTACTTCTTTGGAGAGTTTCGGCCTTCATGGCAGTGTTTGGTTAGTGGTTCCTCTTGCTTAGGTGTTGCAGCCTCTGGGGCCCTTTCAAAAAAGGTGTGTATATGCAATGACAGATCATGTGACACTTAGATTGCACACAGGTGGACATCATTTCACTAATTATGTGACTTCTAAAGGTAATTGGTTGCACCAGAGCTTTTTATAGGCTTCATAACAAAGGGGGTGAATACATACGCACATGCCAATTTTCTGTTTTCTATTTCTAAAAAATAGTTTTATGTATATATTTTTCTCATTTCACTTCACCAACTTAGACTATTGTGTTCTGATCCATCACATAAAATTCAGATTCATAAAACATTGAACGTAAGGCTGTAATGTAACAAAATAGGTAAAAAGTCAAGGGGGGTGAATACTTTTGCAAGGCACTGTATAAGAACATTAATCTCTTCTGTAACATTTAGTAATAAAATACACCTTAAAACAAAAAAAATAAATAAAAAGTAAATAAATACATCTGTAAATGGTTTTGCTAGTACACCACTAAGTTACTTAATTAACTTTGGGTGTATTCCATCAGGTCCCATTGACTTATTTGTCTTTACTTTTGACAGTTGAAATAGAACCTTCTCCCTCTGTAAACTCACGTGTAACAAATGGCTCATTTGTCCTTTTTCCTAATTGAAGTCCCTAATTTTCAGCTGTAAATACTGAACAAAAATATCAATTGAGGCAGTCAGCAAGACCTTTATCCTCTTCTACATACCTTCCTTCTTTTGTTTTTAATTTAACTAATCCTTTTATTGATTTCCTTTTATCATTTACGTATCTAAAAAATGTTTTATCCCCCTTTTTCACTGACTGTGCTATTTTCTCTTCTGTGTGTGCTTTGGAGGATTTTATAACTTGCTTTGCCTTTTTATGCCTAATCTTATAGATCTGCCTGTCTTCCTCACTCTGTTTTTTTTAAATTTACTAAATGCTAACTTTTGGTTTTTTACTATTTTATCACAGTGTTTTTTTTTTTATTTTTCTGCTCTTACTGACAAGCCTAATGGAATTCTCTCAGTAGTGCAACTTTTAAATAATCCCATTTCCCCTGGACTCCATTTAAACTGCTCCAGTCTGATAAGGACTCCTAAAGACTCCTTTACACATATTCTAATTTTAGAAAATCTGTTTTTCTAAAATCTAAAGCTTTTGTTTTTGTGTGGTGTTGCCTATGTTTTCACTTGTTGGGTTACGTAGCATTGTAAACTACTTTCACTGCGAGGCAATACAGTATGCACTCGCCACTTTTTCAGAATTGAAGAATGATCAAGTAGACTATATAGTAAATTGTGTGGCATTTATTCTTAGTCATAATTTTTTGGGGGTGAACAACCAGCACTACTTACACATAGAGGGTAATGCCATGGGAACCAGATTTGCGCCAAGTTACACCAAGCTCTTTATGGGAAAATGGGAGGATGAATTTATTTGGATTGACCACCCATTTGGCGCAAATCTGGTCCTATGGCAACATTACATAGATGACTGTATTTTTATTTGGAGAGGAGACATTTTATCATTGGATTCTTTTAAACAATACCTTAATTTTAACCCGTATAACCTTTAGTTTACTTTTAATCAATCTAAAGAAAAGTTGGAATTTTTCGATTTGGAAATCTACATTCAAAACAACAAGATAGAAACTAAAACATTTAGAAAGACAGTTGCCTGCAATAGCTTTATCCCCCATAACAGTTTTCCTAAATCTACTTGGCTAAACATACCATTTAGCCAATTTCGATGAATCAAACGAAATTGTTCAGAACCTTATATTTTTACTCATCAAAAATAAGAAATGAAGTCTCAATTTAAAGCTAAAGGCTACTCTGAAAACATACTCAATAAAGCTATTATCAAAACCACAGAAATATCACGTTCACAAATTTTAGAAACCAAACCCCAAATCTCCACGACTCATTCTGACATTCCCATGTTCATCACCAGGTTTAACAATCATTCACATGCTATTCTATAGAAATTACCATAATGCTTATCATGAATTTATTTAGAAACTCCTGTAAAACACATACAATGAATTATTATAAAATCACTTAAAGTAAAATAATAATAATTTTTATTTTTATTTTATATCTTTTAACATTTAGCTCCTTTTTATTTGCAATATGTCACAATAATTTATGGACAAGCACTGCTGGAAAAATGATTTGCAATAGAAGATAGCATTCACTATCACTATATTTGATATTTTTAGTGTTTATTTTATTTGATGTGTTTTACTGTTTTTAATGTCTTTTGAAACACTGTAATTTGTTAAATGTGTTTACTATTGTACAACTGCTTATGATATAACTAAAAGTTAGTAAACAATTTATTTAGGCAATTAAGGGGTTAATAAGCCAAGAATAATTATCGGCTATTTAAACCCATTGCCATACACATGACATTCTCTGATGACGTGAGATACTACTCATGAAACGCATAAGGATAGAATCCGAGATTTAACTGTTTTTCGGCACTTACTGCAAATTGACAACGAGTTGCAATTGGAACGCACAGACGGAGAGAGGTGACACGCACGAGGCTCCATGCAGTCACTTCATCACTCACCGGCCGAACTGAGAGACCCGTGGCTCACAGACCCCATTTTACATCAGCGTATCCATATACACTCGGAAGAAATTATCAAAGGCATCATTCATTACTTAGGATCCTACTTTATGATCTTTAAAGGGACACTATAGTCACCTGAACAACTACAGCCTAATGTAGTTGTTCAGGTATGATCTATAGCTCCCTGCAGGCAATCTAATGTAAACACTGTATTTTCAGAGAAAATACCGTGTTTACATTGATTGATAGGAATACCTTTAGTGGCTGTCACTCAGACGGCCACCAGAGGGACTTCCTATCATTTAGGGCCCTAAAAAGGCCCTGTACACGTCAGACGTGTGCAGGAGAGAGAAGGCACTGTATGCGCGCCTTCTCTCTCCATCCTGTCAGCAGAGGAGAGGGGGCGGGCAAAGACCGCGAGCTGAACTGTCAGTCAGCTCAGCTGGCGGCCACGCACACCGCGCGCATGCACGGTAGAGTGCTCAGGACTTCAGAGGGCGGCATGCGCACATGCGCACAAGGGAGCAATGACACTTCCAAATGTAAGCGACTGATTGCTCCCTGCTCGCGCTCGCGCTGGAACCAGGTGAGTAAAAAAATATTTGCCTGGAGAGTCCCTTTAAGTATTTTACAGTCATAAGCAGTGTACATTATTACAATTTACAGCATTTAAGGAAGAAGATATTTGTCTTTTGTACTATATTCAAAAACCTTGTGTGGCAGATAAACCCCAGTCAAACTCTGTAACTGAGGCTAACTGCTACAAGCTAACATTGTGAAAACTATTTACAATAACAGTTTCAAACAGCATTATTGTTGCAAAGACTGTGGACTTTTTATTCCTTTTTTTCAGTGACTTTTTCAACACATATTATTTTTTATTTGTATTTGATCACATATATTGCTCTATTTGTGGACTTTCACATAGTGACTTTATGCCAATATTGACTTTTTGATCCATTTTACTATCATTCATTTTATAAGTACTCATTTTAAGCCCATCTACTTACTTAATGTTTTAAAAGATACATATCCTATATCACTCCTGGATACTTATTAGAGCATATCTAATATTCTATCTTCACATCCCGTTAGGAGCCTAACTATTACCTTGTGCATTCCATCTACTTCAGGAGAATGCGGAAGGGCCCGGTTATTTCAACCCTGCAAAATCCAAGAATTGTACAGATTCTATTGATGAATCAGCCAACCACTACCAACTTACCTTTCCCAAAGACAACAGCCATCGAGCGGCGAAAACCTGAAGGAAGTCCATTCCAATGCTTACTCAATGCACCAAAACATCCTCCCACCTGCAGATGACCGTAACATGAACGGAAAGCCGCCAAGGATATGCTCTCATCTGGCCCTACGCCACCTCAGAGATCGACCCATGGACCAGCTTCATCAGGCCGCTAGACCAAGCGATCATGGCTCCACTGCGTTATAATTTTGTACGTCCTACAGTGAACAAGATAGAGTCACGACCATTACCTTGTGAACCCCTGGAAAACCCCGCCTGACCAGACACTTCCAGACTCAAAAAGCGCCGAGCCAGGCGCCGCAACCAGAGTATCACCGGGGTAAAGGGTACTGTCACATGATATAGACAGCCTGCACCACCCCATGATTGTCTCAATGGAAGAACGACCCATCTGTCTGTGAGTTGGGTACCCCACGCCTACCATGCCACCAGAATGAGGAAGCTCCAAACCGCCAGAGTCTGCAAGAGCCCCGATGCTTGCCAGCTTACTGGGCAAGAGTCAGCACACCATTGAGAGCCCAAAATGGCCCCAAAAATCCCCCAAACCAGAAGCCACTGGTAATGGAGGCCCAGAAGGAAACCCCATACCACCCCAAGGGCAACACCGACAGGCAAAGCCCAGCTTACCCAGGAGAGCCCATGGGTAGCTGAAACCCACAACGCCACCCCAAAACCACCGACACCTCCCACCGGATGTCTTAACCGCAGTCAGGGCTACCGACGTTCCCCCGGCCGGAATCGATCCCACTATCCAGGAGACTACAGTACATATCCCGACCCACGGATATGTCCTGGGCCACAGAACTCCAAAACGGTGAAACACTACCCCAAGTAACACCGCAGCAGCAGAGTGCGGACGTGTGACACTGACGGCCCCAAACATAAGCGACATTGGGAGCAACTCTTGTGGGAGCACATAGCCACTTAACCTTGCCTGTCATAAATACAGCCTGGTGGTGAATTTACAACCACAGCCTAGCCTACAGCTGGGGGCCAGTTAGGAACAGAGTGTCCCCCCACCGACCTACCCCAAGAAAGGACGAAAAACACACCGTGCTGAGGCGCCAGTCGAGCCATAAAGTAAAACCAGAGGCGTAAGTCCATCCTTGCGGAGCATTCTCGGGGATCCTTGCGGAGCATTCTCGGGGGAACCCTCTCCCCCCGACCACGCTATCCAGAAAATACCAGCGCGTCATGGGGTGTATCCGAATACGGTATTTTTCCATGACCATCCCAGAGTCCCTAATGTCCCTCTTAGTCAAGGGCCCCCCAGTGGCAGGAGGGAACATATATCTAATAAAAAAAAATCTGCTTCCCCAATCTGCTCCCTAGTATTTTGCGACAAGTACAAGCCAAGCGGGCCATACTAGCATACCTCAGCAGCACCCAGGACACAGAGAGGGGGAGGAACAGAGAGAGGGGGAGGGGGAATGAAAACAGAGGGACTGCAGAGACCAGAGGAAAACCCAGGGGGACACTGGGGGAGGAGTTGGGGTCCCAGACCAGTAGGCCACGTATCCTGGCATGTCTGGAGCCTCAAACACGTGGCCGGGTGATGCCTCGGGCCCGTGCTCCACCTCCTTAACCGGGCCCAGGGAGCAGTATCGGGGGTAGCTGCGCCAGCGGCAGGAATGCCGGCCGGTGCCATCGCGGCCCCCAGGAGGTCCCAGATTAAGATAGGCCATGGGGGGAGCACCCACAGCGGCAGCCACCCCAGAGGAGAGTATAGCATCTGGGTCAGGAGTCGACCGGCCATGATCCACGCTGCAGCATCTTGGAGGGAAGCCAGAAAGCCTCAACCTCCATCCCTCAACCTGGTAAACCTGCAGGCCCAGGCAAAAAGGAGCAGGAGGACTGGAAGCTGTTTGCTGGCCCGAATCCCAAGTGGCACCTCCTCCACACTAACTTACACAAAACATAATCCCACCCACACATTCTTTCCCAACCAATCCCTTGCATCTATACGTCTGACGTGTGCAGGAGAGAGAAGGCACTGTATGCGCGCCTTCTCTCTCCATCCTGTCAGCAGAGGAGAGGGGACGGGCAAAGACCGCAAGTTGAACTGTCAGTCAGCTCAGCTGGCGGCCACGCACACCGCGCGCATGCACGGTAGAGCGCTCAGGACTTCAGAGGGCGGCATGCGCACATGCGCACAAGGGAGCAATGACACTTCCAAATGGAAGCGACTGATTGCTCCCTGCTCGCGCCCGCGCTGGAACCAGGTGAGTAAAAAAGTATTTGCCTGGAGAGTCCCTTTAAGTATTTTACAGTCATAAGCAGTGTACATTATTACAACTTACAGCATTTAAGGAAGAAGATATTTGTCTTTTGTACTATATTCAAAAACCTTGTGTGGCAGATAAACCCCAGTCAAACTCTGTAACTGAGGCTAACTGCTACAAGCTAACATTGTGAAAACACTCATACATGTACCCTTCTCCGCTTAGCTGCGCTATCTCCCCAGGGCCTTGTTATTATATTTGCTTGTGCTGTGCAGAACATATGCAGGGCCTTTTTCTCATGCTAGATCTCTTCAGCAGACCTTCCCTGGAAGAACATTGAATTAACATGCTCACTTTGAAATGTGGTGTGCTTGTCATTGGTTACACACTATCTGGCCTCGTCCCCTTCTCCCCCCCTTCTCAGTAAAAATTGCCCGGGCCGAATTTTGTTCCCAGTCTGGCCCTGATCTCTACCTACACAAGTTGGTGGATTTAGGGCACAAATATGGGAGTTTTTCTTTTTACTATCACAAGTCGGTGTCTGCTAAAGCTGTGGCAGCTCTGGCCCAGTGTAATATTCAAACCGACTGGAGTCACTTAGATACAGAGCTGTTCTGCAGGCATTCCATCAGCATGAAGCCCCATGCTTGTGTGGTTTGTTCATCTTCCTCCCACTCCTTTAAATTATGCCCATGCAAAGCCGACCCATCTACATCCACAACCCTTGCACATACCACACTAAATTCCTCCATTGGTCAAGATCAAGGTCAGAAGGATACGTTGAGTAGTACTCATAGTTTTCTTGGAGACAGCACAGGTGTGCAACAATTTTAATGCAGGTATCTGCAATTACAGTGCCTATTGATTGTTGCACATCTGCTCAATATGTTTTATGCTACATGCAAAATCTGTGTGCCCCTCTAAGCTCTTTCCCTAGAAATTACTTACATAGGTTAATCTGGACAATCTCAGATATCACTCGCAATCCCACTTCTCACCCCTCAGGTCTCATGGCACTTCCCTCAGGCTCGCTGAAATGCCCCAATTTGTTATTAGCCTATTCCGCTCCCTCAACAGTAGATACTATATTGGACAAAGAAGTCCATCTAGGTTTTGTATTAGACCCATTCTCTCACCCACCTTTTTAGCCATGAGACACAAACCCCATCAGTTGTTTCTCACAAATCTTCAAATAGAAAAAGGTTCTTATTACTCAGCTCATCATTCTTCACACACACCAAGCATACATTCTCTCATCCCTGCAGAAGAATTCTCTATCCATAATGCCACTGTCGATAACACCATACAGACCATTTTACACGTGGGTAGGCACGTTAGGGACAGGTGTACTGGTAGCTGTGGTAGATATTGCAAAACTGACATATCTAATGCTTTCAAGCTTCTACCAATACACCTGTCCCTATGGCATATTCATGGGGTTAAGTGCAGGGACAGTTATTACTTTTACACTAAACTACTTTTGGTTCCAGGAGCAGCCCGAAACTGTTCGATATCGTTGCAGAAATGCTCTGCTGGCTGCGCCTTAATGTCGTTTGATGTCCCACGGTGATTCACTACCTCAACGACTTTCTCCCTTGATGACTTTCTCCTGGTAAAAACTGGTTCACACCTCAAAGTATTTTCAGCACCACTGCCTTTTTCTCCACATTAGGCATCTCTATTTCAACTGATAAGACTCTTGGCCCCTCCACTTGATTGGTGTTCCTGGGTATCACCTTGGACACAGTCACTTTTCATGCAAGCCTCCCAGGTGAAAAGTTGATGCGCATCAGGGAGGAGATGGAACATTCCCTGCAGGCTGGTTCATGGACTCGTAGGGAGCTCCAGTTTTTACTTGGGTTACTTAATTTTGCTATGCGAATCATCCCACAGGGAAGGGTGGTCATTTCCAGGCGTCTGTGTCTCCTACCCAGCTTGTCTGATGATGCGACCGTTCCCCTCGACCCTCTTGCCAGAGCCGATTTACGCATATGGGAAAATTTTCTTGTTTCTTGGAATGTTTTTTCTTTGTTTATCTACCTCTTTCTCACTCATCACCCCTTATCATGACTGATGCAGCAGCAGGGTTTGCCACTATTTTTGTCAATCTTTAGTTCAGAGACTCTTGATGAGACCCTATCCTTGACAGCCTTCAATGAGAACTCTGCCCTTTTTGAAATTTACCCCATAGTGGCAGCTGCGCACTCTTGGGGTCATCTTTGGACAGGGAAGGCCATTAGATGTCTCTGTGACAATGTGCGACATGTTAAATCATCGACAAGGGTCGCTCATCATCCTTGACCATTATGAGGTTGGTCCAAAGATTGACTTGGCTTGCCGCCTCATACCAATTTTATTTGTTCTGTGAGAATATTTCAGGTAAACAATACAGAATAGTGTACAGCGCATAAATCTATATGGAATATATTATAAGTCCATTTCCTTAACCATATAGTACATCACTGTAACGGCTAGCCTGGTGTAGAGAGGGTACGTGTACGTGTAGTGATGGAGTCGCCTATTCCCTTCTGCTGGATCAAGAGTGGAAGCCAGGTGCAGCTCTGAAAAGAGCTAAGTGATTAAGCTGCAGAGATTCCCCTTTCAAGAACGAGACGAGGCTACGTTTTGAAGGGTCAAGAAGAACTGAGGTTTAATGACACACAATCTGCTTTTATGGAATTCTGCCCATGCAAGGGAGACACCCACATAATTAGCAGTACAACCAATCCATACAATATACATTCGGTAAATTCTCTCCCCTCAGATAACTACATAACATAATTAAAAAAGAACAGTTTTTCCCCAAAGTTTGGATGTACCCCAAATACTTATATTTCAGGTACCAACATATGAAAAAAACAGCTCAATCGGTTCAGCCGTTCGGGAGATATAGGACTTAGAAGTTTTGACCGACCGCACGGGCACAGTAGCCGAAAACAGTTCCATGAATGCTGGCCCTGCAGTCGGTCTAAGAACGTGGGTAAAAACTCCCGAATGGCCGGCCATCCGTATACCATCCTGGGTTCGCTGAAATCCCCATCTGCTGTTAATTCTTTCTACCGAACGCCCGGTCGTTCGGTAGGTTTGGTGATGTTCGCCTGTTTGAGTGTCCGATTTTAGTTCCAGACATTCATCGGCAAACACCGCTGTTCAGGAGTTAAAATGGCCGCGAACACGTGTAAGTCCCGAAATGGCGGCTGGGCTTACAGTTCCCATTGCGTTCGTGCGGTTGATTCGAATAAAGTGCCCATCAACCAGGGAGGTAAATTGGCCATAATTAGCAGTCAGGGTGGCCTGTTAAGGGAGGTAAGCATTCGCATGGTGAATGCTTACAAAAATACCGAACGGCTGTATAATCCATTTGTCTTTTGCAGTCATACTGGGCTTGTTGTTACAATCACCATGGCCCAAAGGTGTATATCTAAAAAATGTTTATACCCAATATTATGTGATTGATGTCACTGCAGGGATAAAGCAAACACTCTCATAGCGTAATATGATATTTGTAATATATAAAAAAATCACAGTATACATCCTATAGTTGTCACACTCACATTTTTGAGCCTATCTATATAACTGGCTCATGTAACTATATATTTGTATTCGGGGCCATTTCAGTATAGTATGAAATAGCTAGTGAGTATACTTATTACAATAATAAAAAGTCGGTAGAGTTGTGCCGAAACCGACGTGTGTGGTAGGCCTGTAAATAAGGGGTCCTACCTTGAATAGAGTATTGAATAGAGTATTGAATAGAGGGAGAGGAGGGTGGGCCTGAAGTACAGCTGGACCCATAGGTAAGTTAGTGTACTTATTACAATAATAAAAAGTTGGTAAAGTTGTGCCGAAACCGACGTGTGTGGTAGGCCTGTAAATAAGTGGGCAAAAAGGAATACCCATATAGTGTAATCAAAGATGTTTATTATGAAAACACAAGACATGGAGTTAGCGTATTACGATGACATATCACAAATGCATTCTTTAATTCTTGTGTCAGCTGAGGTATGCGTTGTTGGTGGGGTAGTACTGAATAAGTACCTCGTGGCCCCCCTGGCTGGTCGTAGTTGATGGTAAGTCCATACATAGTGATCCTGTATTTTTACAGGTTAGAATACTGTAGGCAAAGCTTGGAATTGTGACATTATTTTGATGTGGCAAAAAGTGGCGAAAGCCCCCAACGTTGTATGCTTGAACCAGTTTGTGAGGTGGTGATCTGACATGAACTTCGATATATGCAGTAAGCTCTGTCATAGCCGTGTGTGTATTCTTTGAGGGCCAATTGTGTGAATTCCTGTTGTGACTTAGCAACTCTTCTATTCCGTAGGTATGCTGGGAGCTGGGACAGTTATGGGCTTCCAGGCTCTCTAGTCTATCGTTCATCTGCCTCATGGAGGCAGTGACCTCCGTGACTTGGTTCCGTGGGGGGTCTGCCATACCCCCGTGGTATACGATAGCCATGGACCTCGGCGGGTCGGGCTATGTCTAAGCTGCAGACCGGTACAATGATACCGCTCTGCTCACTTACTGTACAGCGGGAAAATGACCGTGCCAGGCAGCAGAGCATTCTGGGGAGCGAAGCACCTGGCGAGCTGTCTGGAGGAGGCTGAGAGCTGCAACTGAAGTCCCACTGAGAACCTGAAGTCCCGCCCAGAAGTACGTCTGGACCCGGAGGTAAGTTAGGTAAGAGGGGGAGTCCCTTTTAAAGGGACATCGCCCCTCCCACAACTTCAGGCCCAGCCTTCCAATATATATATATATATATATATATATACACACACAGTATCTCACAAAAGTGAGTGCACCCCTCACATTTTTGAAAATATTTTATTATATTGTTTCATGTGACAACACTGAAGAAATGACACTCTGCTAAAATGTAAAGTAGTAAGTGTACAGCCTGTAAACCAGTATACATTTGCTGTCCCCTCAACGTAACTCAACACACAGCCATTAATGTCTAAACTGTTGGCAACAAAAGTGAGTACACCACTAAGTTGAAATGTCCAAATTGGGCCCAATTAGCAATTTTCCCTCCCTTGTGTCATGTGACTCGTTAGTGTTACAAGGTCTCAGGTGTGAATGGGGATTAGGTGTGTTAAATATGGTTTATTGCTCTTAAACTCACTCATTCTGGTCACTGGAAGTTCAACATGGCACCTCATGGCAAAGAACTCTCTGAGGATCTGAAAAAAATAATTGTTGCTCTACATAAAGATGGCCTAAGCTATAAGAAGATTGCCAAGACCCTGAAACTGAGCTGCCGCACGGTGGGCAAGACCATACAGTGATTTCACAGGACAGGTTCAGCTCAGAACAGGCCTCGCCATGGTCGACCAAAGAAGTTGAGTGCACGTGTTCACCATCATATCCAGAGGTTGTCTTTGGGAAATAGACGTATGAGTGCTGCCAGCATTGCTGCAGAGGTTGACAGCCTGTCAGTGCTCATGCCATATGCTGCACACTGCTTCAAAGTGGTCTGCATGGCTGTCGTCCCAGAAGGAAGCCTCTCCTAAAGATGATGCACAAGAAAGCCCGCCAACAGAGGCGTAACTAGAAACCACAGGGCCCCAATGTGAAGATTGCCCTGGGGCCCCCCCATACATCTACCTCCTACCCCACACATGCAGACACATAAATACAGAGACCCATACATACAGACACATGTAGAGACACACACACATACACTCATATACACACACTCAGACATATACACATGTACACTCACAGACACACACACTCACAGGCACACATTCATACACTCAGACACTCATACATACACACACTCAGTCACACATACACTTACAGACACATACACACATACTTAGACACATACACTTACAGACACATACACATTCAGACACATACACATATACACTTACAGACACACACAAATTATTAATATTAAATGTCCACCCAGCCTCCCTACAGGGATCAGTCCCTGAGGCCCAGTGGGGCTTCAGTGCGGCGGGCGGCAGAGTTCATGTCAGACGCGGTGAGGGAGCTGTGTTCTCACTGATCTGCTCCCTCGCAGGCTGTCTATTGATGCTGGGAGCTGGAATATGACATCATATTAAGGCTCCTGGCATCAGCAAACGATGTGTGAGGGAGCAGAGCAGAGAGATCACAGCTCCCTCACCGCACCTGACAGGAACTCTGCTGCCCGCCGGGGGGGTCCATGAGGTGGCCTCTTGAGCCTCCCTATGACAGGGGGAACACGGAGTGGGCAGCATCTAGGTGGCCCACAGTCGCAGGGGTCGTGGCTGCGGCCGGACCCCCTGCAATGAGGGGTTCGGCGGCAGCTGCGACCCCTACGACCATAGTAGGTACATCACTGCCTGCAAACAGTTTGCTGAAGACAAGCAGACTGAGGACATGGATTACTTGAACCATGCCCTGTGGTCCGATAAGACCAAGACTTATTTGGTTCAGCTGGTGTCAAGCATGTGTGGTGGCAACCAGGTGAGGAGTACAAAGACAAGTGTGTCTTGCCTAAAGTCAAGCATGGTAGTGGGAGTGTCATGGTCTGAGCCTGCATAAGTGCTGCTGGCACTGGTGAGCTACAGTTCATTGAGGGAACCATGAATGCCAACATGTACTGTGACATACAAAAAAATACAGTATATTAGTGCACAAATATACAGAATATTTTTATACTAAATAGTATAAGCTAAATATTGGAAAGCCACTGGATACAAAAAAAAAAACTTCCCAAGTTTCATATAAAATACAAGTAAAAAACACTGAACAGTATCAGCGCTTAGCAGATATTCCCCTGTGAAACAAAATGTGGAAAGAAAGAAAATAAGCCCAAAATGTTAGAGTCCCAGAGTACATATAGTTTTTTTTTTAAAAAAAAGGCTATTTCCATGTCATGGGGAATGTGATGGTTTTTGTACAGTGTTCTGTGTACTCATACGATAGAAACAAATCCAATCCAGGTGTAACAATGTATCCACCTTAAATTAAAAAGAATACAAATATAGTGTAACACTGTAAATATTTTACTGTCCTCTAAAAAGTCCTTTGTGGAACTCTTACAAGATTAGATGGTGGAACTTATCTCTAAGAACCACAATTAAGCGACACAGAAGAAGAAAAGAAAATTATTACATGCAGTATAATTCAAACAAACGTCTCTTATTATACGTTTTTTAAATAGTTTTTTATTATCTATTTATTTGTAAAGATATTCCAGAACACTAGGGCATTTTTAATTTATTTTTTTTTGGACAAATAGTCAATTTTATGCAATTTTATTTAATTTTTATTTTTTTTGCTATATTCTTTCCCTTACTTATGCTAGTTTCCCAAGGGGATCCATTATTTAAATGTATCACCTGCGATTTTATGTTGCACAGATCTCTTAGATGTGCATTTACTATGATTTTAATGGTGATTATAATTGATTATCCATTACTTTATGTTGCATTATGTTGCATTGATCTCCAATTTGACCATATGTTTATTTGTTATATGATCTATGTCATTTGAAATTTATTATTTTTATATTGATACAAGTAATTGATTTAGATATGTGTGATTTGTCAATATGATCAATTATATAACATATTAGCCTTATATATTTTTCCATCATACCATCTAAATTCAATACTTGTAATTGTTCTATTCCACTGTGCCATTATCGGAATGTATAGATCAACAGAATTTTCCGTAGTTATCCATAATTATATATGGACAATATACCCTTAAAGTGTTTGATGTTTTTTGTGTGTGTATATATACCCTTCAAACCCGCCATGGCACTCCGTCTTGAGAAAGCCCAATCTAACGGGCGAAACCCCTAGACTGAGCCTGGCAGAATTTGGTAGCAGATCCAGCGGCACTCACAGTCGGCATCCTTCCGAGATGATAGTCTGCATTGACTCGGGTGCACAGGATCAGTTTGCAGCATCTCACCACAGAGTGGTAAACTGCTTGAGACATGTGCATTGTACTGCACCAATGCTTAATTGTGGTTCTTAGAGATAAGTTCCATCATCTAATCTTGTAAGAGTTCCACAAAGTGTTTTTTAGGGGACAATAAAATATTCACAGTGTTACACTATATTTGTATTCTCTTCAATTTAAGGTGGATACATTGTTACACCTGGATTGGATTTGTTTCAATCGTATGAGTACACGGAACACTGGACAACTACAATCACTTTCCCCATAACCTGGAATTATCCATTATTCAAAAGCTTTATGTAGACTGGGACTAACATTTTGGGCTTATTTTCTTTCTTTCTCCATTTTTTTTCACAAGGGAATTGTGGCAAACCCTGCCACTTGGACTAATTATTCTATGCGAATGGGTGCTAAACCAAGGGAATACTTGCACGAACAGACTTTAATAAGATAGAGGCCGTAGCTAAGTGGCCGACCCCTCGTACGAAAACTCAGGTTTTAGCCTTTTTAGCGACCGCCGGTTATTACCGTAAATTTGTGCCCAATTATAGTGCCCTAGCGAAGCCACTTACTGACCTCACCAAGAAGAAGCTGCCCAAAATAGTTACCTGGAGCCCAGAGTGTGAGCAGGCATTCCAAGAACTGAAAACTGCCCTAATTCATGCACCTGTACTTGCCGCTCCCGATGCAACTAAACGCTTTCTCGTTCATACAGACGCTTCTATGTTTGGATTGGGAGCAGTGCTGAGCCAGGTTGGGGCCGATGGCGGCGAACATCCAGTCGCTTACTTAAGTCAGAAATTACTACCCAGGGAAGTAAGCTATGCTGCCATCGAGAAGGAATGCCTGGCGGTGGTGTGGGCCCTCAAGAAACTACAGCCCTATTTATATGGACAACAATTTGCCTTGCTCACAGATCACAACCCGTTGGTGTGGCTAAACCGGGTGTCAGGGCACAACGCTAGACTGCTAAGATGGAGCTTGGCGCTACAACCATTTGATTTCACCATCCAGTATCGCCCGGGGAAACAAAATGGTAATGCCGACTGGTTGTCCCGACAGACAGAACTAGAAAAATTATCTGTGAGCACTCTCCCGGACATCCCCAAGCCGATCCGTTGGGATCAGACCGTGTATGCCGGCTTGGTTCTGGGGGAGCATTGTGGCAAACCCTGCCACTTGGACTAATTATTCTATGCGAATGGGTGCTAAACCAAGGGAATCCTTGCACAAATGGACTTTAATGTTATTTTACTGTTATTTATGCGAATGCTCAAAACTACCGAACGGGAGACCACCCCGGGGTGGTCGTGTGTCTCCAATGAGCTGAACGATACAATGTTGCCAAGGGAATTAAGTACCTGTATGTCTGGCCGCCATTTCGCCTACCGAACACGTGGCGGCGGCCATCTTACGCACAAACAGCGGTACTTGGTCGTCGAACGCCTGGAACTCAAACCGGGCATTCGATTAACCAAGTACCGCTAAGACCTCCAGCATGCTCCTACAGCACGAATTCAACACACAAACGCCCCGGCGTTTGGTAGATA